CTGGATTGCTGCCAGGGCTTATCTGTGCTGGATTGCTGCCAGGGCTTATCTGTGCTGGATTGCTGCCAAGGACCTGTCTGTCTGTTAATTAAATGCCGTAACTTATCTTTGGCTTGGAGTGTGTTGGTGTGGGACGAGGGGGGGTCAGAACAGTATAGCATAGAACAGAGCACAACAGGACAGGAATAGAATAGAAACAGAAGGCTTGTATGCTTAGATGCACATCGAATTTGTCTCGCGCAAGGATTGCGTCGTCCTCGGTGGCCTCCGAGCCCGGGTGGAAATCTAAGCCGGCCTTTTGCTTGCTTCTCTCCAGAGGGAGCACACGGACACCCTGCGCCACTTGAACTTGATGCTGGCCTTCACGGAGTGCGTGCTGGACCTGACGGCCATCCGGAGCGGCAACCCAGAGCTCTGCAACTCCGCCGTGTCCCTCTACCAGATCCAGGAGAGCGTGGTGGTGGATCAGATCAGCCGGCTGAGCAAAGACTGGGGGTGGGTCAAAATCCTTCAAGCTCCCGGCTTCCTTTTTGTGGAAATCTCCCTCCTGCCACACCCAAACGTTGCAACGGGAAGTGGGGTTGGTGGGGGGGGGCAAGTGGAGGAACCTCCCCTTGATAAGTTTTTTTATTTTTTGTTCTCAATATACAGAATTGTAGGTATACATTCACATAGTTATTGTTCTTATTTATCTTTATCACGTTTACATATTTATTTTTCCATATAAAAGGTTAAAATATACATTCTGGGTTGCTTTGCTTAGCATCCCATCGACCTATTTTTATGTTATCAACCTATTTTTCTTTTCTTTTCACCCTCCCCCCTTCTCTACTTCCTTCCTCTTTTCCTTCCCCTTCCTTCTTCCCTTACCTCTCCGCTACTCTTCTCTTCCTCTTCCCCTTCCTACCCTCTCTCCTTCTCTTTCTATCCCTTTCTTCCTCCTCCTTTTCCTTTTTCCCTCCCTTCCTTCTCTACTTCCTTCCTCCTGTCTTTCCCCTTCCTTCTTCCCTTACCTCTCCCCTACTCCTTTCTTCCTCTTCCCCTTCCTACCCTCTCTCCTTCTCTTTCTATCCCTTTCTTCCTCCTCCTTTTCCTTTTTCCCTCCCTTCCTTCTCTACTTCCTTCCTCCTGTCTTTCCCCTTCCTTCTTCCCTTACCTCTCCCCTACTCCTTTCTTCCTCTTCCCCTTCCTACCCTCTCTCCTTCTCTTTCTATCCCTCCCTTCCTCCTCTCCTTTCCCTTTCTTTCTTCCCTTACCTCTCCCCTACTCCTTTCTTCCTCTTCCCCTTCCTACCCTCTCTCCTTCTCTTTCTATCCCTCCCTTCCTCCCCTCCTTTCCCTTTCTTTCTTCCCTTACCTCTCCCCTACTCCTCTCTTCCTCCTCCTACCAGCTCTCCTTCTCTTTCTATCTCTTCCTTTCCTTCCTCCCT